CAAATGATATGGAAAAAGTACTGTATAAGCAGGGATTCTCAACCTTGGCACTATTGACATTCTGGGCTGGATAATTCTTTGCTGTAGAGGGCTATCTGTGCATTGTAGGATGTTTAGCTGTGTCCCTGACCTCGCCGTGCCGGATGCCAGTAGAACCCCTCAGTGGGACAACTAAAAATGTCTCCACACATTGTCCAGTGTCCCTAAGGGGCAAAGTCACCCTCAGCTGAGAACCGCGGGGATAGAGAGTGAGGAAGGTGCTATTTTGGACAGTGCGATTAGGGAAGACCTCTCTGATAAGGTGGCATTTGAGCAGAGCTCTGAATAAAGTAAAGTAGTGAGGCTGAGAGTGTCATGGGCAAGGACACTCCAGGGGGGAATAGCAATCAGAGGCCTTAGACCAGAGCGTGCTTGGCAAGAAACAGCGCAGACCAGTGTGGCTGGAGTGGCTGAGTGAGACGAAGAATGGTAGGAGATGACTTTGGAGGGTAGCAGAGCACCGGGTCGTGGAGTCTCATAAGTTGTCATGGAGACTTTGGATATTGTCCTAAGTGTAATGAAATGTCACTGGAGGATTTTGAGCAGAGGACTGCCATGATCAGGCTTGTTTTAAAAGGATCCCCCTGGCTTCCATGTGCAGAATCAACTGGCGTGGAAAGAAGACCAGGCTGGGGCGCCTGGGTGGCTCAGTTGGTTAAACGTCTGCCTTCGGCTCAGGTCATGATCCCAGGGTCCTGGGATCGAGCCCCGCATCGGGCTCCCTGCTCGGCGGGAAGCCTGCTTCTCCCTCTGACCCTCCCCCTGCTTGTGTTCCCGCTCTTGCTGTCTCTCTCTCTCTCTCTCTGTCAATTAAATAAATAAATAAAATCTTAAAAAAAAAAAAAAAGAAGAAGAAGAAGACCAGGCTGGAAGCAAGGAGACCCAATTGGAAGCTTTCGTTGTTGTCAAAGCCAGAGTTTTTTTGTATTTGGACTAGGGTGATAGTGGTTCTGTTGGTTCTGGTCCTCTGGGACACAGATGCGAAGACAGAGTTAGACATTCAGGACACCGATTGGGATAACACCTGTGAAAGTTAAAGGGACAAGGGAGCAGGGGTTGGAAGGAGAGGTCTTCAGACGTCAGTGCAGGTCTAATCTGTGAAAGGAGAGGGGGCAGAGGGAAAGGAGCCACCAGTAAGGCGGGATCTCAAGAGGGGTGACGTCAGCTGTCAGATGCTGCTCAAGAAGCAGGCAAGGTGAGGCCCGAGGACTGACCATTGGGTTTAATGACTTGGTGGTCACTGAAGACCTTGACGAGAGCCAGGTCAGTGGAGTGGTGAGGGCAAAAGTCTGAATGGAGAGGGAACGTTCAGAGGTGGGAGAGGAAACCAAGACACCAAGTGCTGACAGCTTTTTTTGAGTTTTTCTGTGAAGGGATGCAGAGACATAGGGGATACTTGGAGATGGAGCTTTGTGTTTATTTTTTAAGACAGGAAATAGTAATACCACTTTCTTTTTTAATGCCGATAGGAATGATGCACTAGAAAGAAAACTTGATACAGGACCGGGAGGAATTATAGTGGCGAAGTTCCTTAAAGGTGACAGGGTTGTAGTGGTGGGGTAGTCCAATGAGCAGGGTATTCATACAATGCATCCATAAGGGAAGAAGGACAGCAAACGGGAGGGCATACAGGAAGGGAAGTGGGTCCCGGGGTGAGAGCCTGTGGAGGTCTGCCCTGCCTTTTTGTCAGTGAAAGAAGAAGCAGGGTTACACTCACGGAGCAGCGAGGGAGGGGCGGAGGTTTGCCCACAGAGGAACTGCTGTAAATCAAGGCAGGCCAGCCGCCAGGGTGAACTGATCACTGCCTACGGTTCCCTTTCCCGGAAAATGCCCAGGTTATCTGAGTGCACGGAAACCATGTAGTGGAAAATATGAAGCCAACGCAGTATTATCAGTGACGCTGAGCTCCCTTTAACTATCTCCTAACAAGCCTGTGAGGCAAGTACTACTGCTATTCCTACTTTTCCAGCAAGGAAACTGAGGCTTGGAGAAGATAAGTATCTTGCTTAAGGCCACACAGCCAGAAAGTGGTGGAGCTGGGACGAAAATCTGGATCTCTCTGGCCCCAGAGGCAAGTGAGGAAGAGAGCACTCCTCAGACCTGCAAAGCTTCTTGGAGAAATGTAGCATCATTTCCCACGTAGATTGTAGGTAGATCGGGTGTCTGGCATTTGCCCTGGTAATCCAACAGCAGCTCCACCAATTAGTTCCCCCTAACAGAAGACTCTGTTACTAATGGATTGTATCAGTTTGGGATGCTTTTGGCTACAAGTAACAGAAGGAAGAGAGCTTTTGTTTTTCTCACGGAACAAAATGTCTAAAGGTAAGCAGTTGTAGGCATTGGTTCACCTGCCCCCCAGAGCTCTCAGGGACCCAGGCTTACTATGTCCTTCCATTCCACCACTGTTAGTGTGTTGGCCTTTGATCTCAAACTTGTCTTATGGTTGCAAGATGGCTGCTGCTGCTCCTGACATCACCTCTGCTTTCAAAGGAGGAAGATAGGGAAGGAGCTGCGGGTGAAAGACAGGAGTGTGTTTGTCCCTTTTTATCAGGAAAGCTGTAGCTTTCCCAGAAACTCTACTCAGCAAGCTTGTATCAGTAAGTTTCTATCAGTAAGTCAGAACTGGTCAGTTCTGACCACCCCTAGCTGCAAAAGGAACTGGTCAGTACCTGCCTTCCTTGTCTCTGAAGTTGAGGCAGGCCATGGAGAAGGGGTTAGAGAAGGGGTTAGAAATGCTCAGAGGACAGCTAACCTGCAGTTAGATGCTCTCTTGCCAGAAGAGAGGTTTTTGATTGGTTTGGTCAGTGGCCTTCTGGTGTCAGGTGCCCCAGGCGGAGCTTTCACCTGGGCCTCCTGATGGGTCATTGGCCCACCTGTGGCCGCTTTGGGGCTGGATATTAAGCCGTGGTCCCATCAGCTGTGGCCTGGGAGCGGTGGGGATAATTAGCACTAAGTATGGTAATCTTTGTGTGAGAAACCCCTCTGCATGTCTTAGGGGCCACTCCAGTTCATTGTGAGAAGTTTCTACAGGCAATGAGCAGGGAGAAGAGAAATCAGAGGAGAATGGGGGATAAGGGAAGATTCTTTTTTTTTTAAAGAGCAGAAACACAGATCATAAAAAGATGAAGGAATTTCAACTGCAAAAAATTCGGTGCATAAGACCCCAAAAAGAGTGAAAAAAAGTCCACTGGAAGAAAGTATTTGCAAAAGCAGTCACTGATCAAGGATTAGTATCCAGAATACGAATCCTAATAATATAACATATATATATATAAATGTCAAACCACTCAATAGATAAGTGGCTGTTGCCAGACGAGGAAGGGTAAATAGCCAGTAAACATGAAACTCTGCAGGAAAGGAAATGCAGGTTAAGACACAAGCAATCTGACACCTCTCGGCCTGACAAATGTTAGAAAGTCTGGCTTGAAGGACCTAGAGCAGTAAGAGTGAGCACTGTGGATAGCGGTGCACATTGGGGCCACTTCTGGCAAGATATTCGAGGACATGTAATGGGGAAATACTCAAACTGTGATCCTGCCTGTCTGCCGTGAGGTGTAGCCCCTGAGCATCTGCACGTGTGTCTGGGAGACAGTCCAAGAATAGTTACTGCAGCATGGTTTATAAAAGCAAAGACATACAGAAAGGATCCTAAATAACCGTCGGCATGAGAAAAGAGAAGATTGGCGTTATGATCGTGTGGTGGAATGAATACTGCCGAGAGTTGCATGGAACCAAGTGCATAAATATCACTTACACAGAGAAGCTCGTTGCAGAAGAATCCATAGAGTATAATTGCATGTGTATAACCCTAAAAACATGCAGAGCAACAATACATTTTTTTAGGGATGCATACATAGGTGGTAGAAAGGAAAATGCATGGAAGTGACAAACTCCTGGTCACCATAGTGGTTCCCCGAGGGCGAAATGTGAGTATTTGACACCGTTGTTAGCTGGGGGGAGGGGGGAGTGCACGGGGTGCGGACATGCGGTCTTGGACTGGATTAGTCACCCTATTTCTAAGGCGAAGGTGCAGTTGTTCGTCACATTCTTTGTCTCTTTTATATGTCTGAAACACTAAGTACGTAGACTAAATGTTGAAAACAAAGGACAGAAGAGTAAAAGAACTTTCAGGGTACAGAGTTCAGAAACCAGACCAGTGCCTGACTCCTGTTGTATCTGCCTGCACTAGGAGAGGCACACGGCGAAGTTTTGACTTCGAACCTCCCAAATGGTCGGCTTTGTATGTGATCGTTGGCATCTGTGTAGCCTGCTCTGCACAAGCAAACTCTTTGATCATTGCTGTCCCCTCCCATCGCTCCCCTGTTCCACATGCCCAAAGGAATGTTTTGATTGGAATCCTTTGTCTTTCTGACATTTTGTTGCAAACCCTACTGGGTTGAATTAGGTTATGAAACCATAACATATTATGTAGAAATGGTGCTGTAGAGACCCCAAACTAGTTGCAGCTGGTCCACCTTTGCCTCGTGAGGGCAGAGGGGCCTCCGTGCTCTTCCCCCTCATCACTTGATGACTGAAAACCCCTGGCTTCATTTCGGACTCTTGACTGGCCCATCCCTGAGCCTTCCTGTTTGCGGTGCTGTTTACGTGACGGCTTTCAGTTCCTGGAGGACAGGGGCCCTGAGGTTTCATCCTGGTGGCCCCCAGCTTGCAGGGATCACACTTCCAAGGCTCAGGCCACGATGGACAGCCCACTACTGAACTTCATCCTCCCCTCGCTCACCCAAGCCCCAGACTTAGGGCTTGACCACACTTTGCCCCCTCAGCCTTCTCTCTCATCTTCAGCCCTAGCACTCCCACTCACCATCCCCTCCGCCCCCAACCTCAGGCAGGAACCTTGACTCCCTAGTCAGAGAGAATGTATCGGTCACATAATTGCCGTTTAAAAGTATGCTGGCAGCTCTTCCACAGGACGCCTACACGCTGCCGCTGGGGCCGCCGCCATGTCTCTAGTGATCCCTGAGAAGTTCCAGTACATTTTGCGAGTACTTAACACCAATATCGATGGGCAGCGGAAAATAGCCTTTGCCATCACTGCAATTAAGGGTGTGGGGCGAAGATATGCTCATGTGGTGTTGAGGAGAGCAGACATTGATCTCACCAAAAGGGCCGGAGAGCTCACTGAGGATAAGGTGGAATGTGTGATCACCATAACGCAGAATCCTCGCCAGTATAAGATCCCAGACTGGTTTTTTTTTCTTTAAATTTTTTATTGTTATGCTAATCACCATACATTACATCATTAGTTTTTGATGTAGTGTTCCATGATTCACTGCCAGACTGGTTTTTGAATAGACAAAAGGACATAAAGGATGGAAAGTACAGCCAGGTCCTGGCCAATGGTCTGGACAACAAACTTCGTGAAGACCTGGAGAGACTGAAGAAGATTAGGGCCCACAGAGGGCTGCGCCACTTCTGGGGACTTCATGTCCAAGGCCAGCACACCAAGACCCCAGGGTGCCGTGGCTGCACCGTGGATGTGTCCAAGAAGAAATAAATCTGTAGGCCTTGTTTGTTAATAAAATAGTTTATACACCTAAACAAACAAACAAAAAATAGTATGCTGGCAGGTTGGAATTTTGGGAATGAATTTTTAAAAGGTTCGGTAGTTGGTACTTTTCCAGAAGGATAGGTAGCCTGGGCCAAGCAGGAGATTTCTCTGAGTCTGTTAGGATTCACCCCCATTTCTGTTTGCATGAGAAGTGTTTTCTTCCAGGGGCTCCTTGGTCGCTCAGTTGGTTAAGCGTCTGCCTTTGGCTCAGGTCATTATCCCAGGGTCAATCTTTAAAGAAAAAAAAAAGAAGTGTCTTCTTCCAGAGCCAGAGGCTGTGACAGGCTCTCTGTGGTGGAACATCCTAAAAGTTGATGCAAGGGATTTTCACCTGGGAGGGCCTGGGGGAGAGGTGCTTTAACATCCTACTTTCGTAGCAGGCTGTAGAAGGAGGCTAGCTCCCTGAGTCTGGGCTGTTTTCTGGCTGCCAGGCAAGCAGAGTAAGCTGATAAATGCAATGTTCACTTTGTTCCAGGCTGTTTTGTCATCTTGGAGAAACCAAAGTAGTTCAACAAGTCATATTTATTTTACTAAATAATTGATTAGGACAGTTGCCTTCTATTAGGACATTTTTTTCCACTGGGAAAACTATAATTATTATTATATCATTTTGCTCTAAGAACAGAACCTGGGTGCACAGTACCACACTCTTGTGGACATAATATAAATAGCATGTGGTGGTGATGTTGCTAGCAGATCATTCCTAATCTCATGTTTCTTCATAATATCCTTGTGATATACTACCTCTCCTCTCAGTGGACTCTGCCTGCTGTAATATTATCCCTTTCTGCCACATTGCCACTTTCCACCATCTCTCTTCTCCTTAAGCTGGGTATTTTTGACCAAAGTGAATGTTGTTTTCCTTCATTGCCATCAAGGACAGCAAATAGGTTTTAATTCTTGTGCCATCTCTAATCCATTACAAATGGCTGCTTGGAGTTCTGACTTAGTAGGATACAGGTCAGAGCTCAGCAGGGAGGAGTGCCTATTGGTTGGCAGTGTCTGTGATGGGCGCAGGGTTAAGACTTGGGGCACTCCTGTCTAAAATACTCCTTAAAAAGTTAAAAATTAAGAAATCTCTTAATACATCAAATTAAAAATGGTAGTTATCTGTAGATGGTTAGATTCTAGGGAAATTTAATGTTCTTTTGAGAATGTTCTATGCTTTCTGCATATTTGACAGTGAACGTGTATTACTTTAATACCCAGGGAAAAACACTCTTAGTGTTATTTTGAAAAGAAACATCTTACCTGAATGAAACCAGTGATTTGAATGTGCTGTGTCAGTGCTTGATTCTGCTGCTGGGCTCTGTAGTTGCAATATGCTTAGCAGGGGGCTAGGCGTGCTCACTGCTTTTTCCTTTCCTGAACTCCGAAAAATCTTTTGACCCTGAGCCATAATTCTTGCTGTGAGTAGAGCGTGGGACTGATAGACTGGTCTCTCATCTTCTAACCTGGCAGGTCGGGGTGGTGCATCTATCTATGGCAAGCAGTTTGAGGATGAACTTCATCCAGACCTGAAATTCACGGGTAAGTATATAATCTGGCTGCACGGGTGGCAGGGAGTGGATTTGAAAAGCTCACTCTTGGCTGTGATTCTGGGTGCATGCCTGACACCATGGCAGGGTGCCACGGGGCTGACCAGCTGCGGCGCCACAAAGAACCCTGGTGGGTTAGAGAGAGTGACGGACACCTCTCTCTCCTGCATAATTCACAGTGCTGGTCTGAGTGTTCTAGACTCTGATTGTTGAATGTTGCTGTTGCAAACTATAGGAAAGCGAAAGTTTCCTCAAAGAGGCCTAGAGATCTTGCTGGGTTTTTGCGGGGCGTCGGGAACACGGTCCAGCAGTTAGTGGGGATCATCATAGATAGAGAAGCTGGGGAGTAGGTGAAGAGTAGGAAGGCAGTTGTTGGGGTAGGGCGGTGACGGCCTTTGTGTAAAGGCAGGGAGCCTGCCCTCGGTGGGGGGGGGGGCAGGGGGGAAGAGTGTTTGGGTTACATGATTGACGATGGAGGCCAGAATAAAGTCTGGGATGGTGGAAGACACACCCAGCTGGAGCTTTGGGGGTTATTCGTACTCTTTCTTCATTTTTCCCACTAGGGGCTGGAATTCTCGCCATGGCCAATGCGGGGCCAGACACCAACGGCAGCCAGTTTTTCGTGACCCTAGCCCCCACCCAGTGGCTCGACGGCAAGCACACCATTTTTGGCCGCGTGTGCCAGGGTATAGGAATGGTGAATCGAGTAGGAATGGTGGAAACAAACCCCCAGGACCGCCCTGTGGACGATGTGAAGATCATTAAGGCGTACCCTTCTGGGTAGGCTTGCTGCTGCCCTGCACTCACCCAGATCTTCGGAGATGGCCCCAGTGAACCAGCTTCCAGATGACCTAGAAGGACACGTACTTAAACTCCATTTTGGCCTTGCAAGTCACAGAGCTCAGGAGACCTGGGGGCTTGGGTGAGTTAGAGATGGAAGTATATTTTCAGAGGATGCTTCTTTTCTCTTCCCCCGGTGCCTAGGTTTACAGAGCATTTGCAGAAATGCTCATAAATGATCATTCACAGGGAACGGCTCATTGCAAGTGAGCGTACTGCCCCTCCTGGCATGTGTCTGTGCCGATACACTTGGAACAAGATGAAGCCGACTCTGTCATTCCGTAGTGCCTGACCAAACTTCTTCCTGCAGAGATTTATATTCTGGCCTACACTGCAGTCTTCAGTGGCTGACAGCCACAGAATTCAAAACCAAGTAGTGTCTATCAGCCTTCTTAACTCTGTGCACACCCTATTTCAGTCTCCTACATTTGTTCTTCCGGGAATGTATGCATCTCTATATATATTTTCCCTCTCAAAATCAGAACATCAACACTGCTGTTTCTGACACTTAGACATCCCACGCAAAGCCACATTGAATTTTTGCCAAATGAAAAATGCATCCAGCAATCAAGTTTCTAAGAAGGTGTCAAGTGGGGAATGATAATGTGTAATAATCAAGAAAGGAATTTATTAAAAGGAAGCAGAAACATTGACCATTTTTTCCCCAGGAAGGAGTAGAAATCTGTAGTGAGCCATAAAGACAGACTATGAATTCTCCTGAAAAAGCAGTATTGTCATAAAGGAGAGGCACCACTTAAGTTTTTTTAACCTAAGACTAGAGAAACTAGTTAAGAGATTTTATATGTTAGGTTTCTTAAGTCTTTCTGATTTTTTTTTTTTTTTTTACACGGGGTGTGTGGTGGTGGTAAGAGAAAGGAACATCTTTGTAATACATAGAAACTTCCCAAATAAAATGCCACTGATGGTTGACATTGCTGCTCTGGTCTGATTTTAAATACTACATGAAGTTTTATTAAAGATTTTTTTTAAATTTGACAAAGAGACAGTGAGAGAGGAAACACAAGCAAGGGGAGTGGGAGAGGGAGAAGCAAGCTCTCTGCCGAGCGGGAAGCCTGATGTAGGGCTCCATCCCAGGACCTGGGATCATGACCTGAGCTGAAGGCAGACGCTGAACGACTGAGCCACCCAGGCGCCCCCTACATGAAGTTTTAACAGTCATTTTAACTTGTAAACCATCTCAAGTAGTGTCGCAGGGCTCAGCTTCAAGATTTCACATATTTTAGGTTTGTGCATCTCTGGTGGACTTCTATTCAAGAGCAGGTCTGACTTTAAAAAGACAGTACCAGGGGCGTCTGGGTGGCTCAGTTGGTTAAGCGGCTGCCTTCAGCTCAGGTCATGATCTCAGGGTCCTGGGATCGAGCCCCATGTTGGGCTCCTCGGTCAGCGGGGAGCCTGCTTCTCCCTCTGCCCCTCCCCCTGCCCGTGTGTGCTTACGCTCTTCTCTCTCTCTCTCCCTCTCAAATAAATAAAATCTTTTTAAAATTTTAATAAATAAAAAAGGCAGTACCAAAGAAAGAATCTAAGTGATGTCGATTGGCAGTTCTGAGTGAGGGAGAATCACCTGTAGAGGAGCCAGGTGGATGTGCTGAGAGACCTAAAGCATTCCTTGAACTTGCAGGAAATCTACCTTCCTGTTGTTCCGGACCCAGAGGCAGTACGTACTGTACCTTCCTTAAATTGATAGCTCCTTAATTGAAGAGTGGATTGTAGTTTTAGTGTTCTTCTTTATCAGTCCATGAATTTTGGAAATGATGGTTTACTTTATGGAATGGCCTTTAAAAAGTTCTATTCCCCAAGCATTCCCCAGGTTCAGCCTCTCTTTCCATCCCTCTCTTTCTTTTCTCTCAACAACAAAAAAGCAAAACCCAACAACAAACTATGTAAATGGCTTTATAACTTTTCAGCGGTGGTGTTGGGCAAAGTACTGTTCTAGACTCTGGGGAAATAGAAATTTCTTGTGGCCTAGACTGGGCAGACATAATTGGATCCACCTCTAGGAGCACTTATCTCCCAGAGTTATAATCCTGAAAACACGCATTTTCACCCAGGTCATGGGGGTAGTGGAAACATACTATCACTACTTTGAGAAGGAAAGAAGGACCCAAGTACAGAACTCTTGGCGTACTTGACCACACGTAAGAATCACTGGGGGAGCCTGCTAGGAAGCAGATCAGGATTCAGCATCTGGCCAGAGATTCTGCGTTTCTATCCAGCTCCCAGGAGATGGTGACTCCTGATCTAGACACCATACCTTGAGTAGTGAGATCCCAGAGGTCATGTTTGTCCAACATGACATTGGGGGTGGGGAAGATTTTCCTAAGAGCATGGGGCGGTCAGCACCATAACCCCATCTGCCTCCTTGACTGGTGGTAGCCTTGGAAGAGTGAAGAAATTCAAAGTACAGAATGAGCTTTAACTGCTTCTGGCTTTGGCTCCTGAGACTAAGCTTTTAGAAACTTCCCTTCTGCCTTTTTTGTTTAAGATTTTATTTACTTGAGAGTGAGAGAGAGAGCATGAGCCGGGGGAGGGGTAGAGGGAGAAGGAGAA